TTTTTGGAGTGATTTGTCGGCCAGGTGTCAAGCTACCCAAAGCAGTCCTTCAAGAGACCATTGGTTTCAGCCTCAAAGTTTTGGGAGACCGCAGGGTGTTTCAGAAATTAGCTAGCTATGGAGGGCGGGGTCATCAACTATGCAATGTTTCAAGAGGAACGTTCTTGGAGGATACTGTGCTAAGCTGCTACGGTGCTGATGAATTGAAGGAAACCCACAAACCACCCATCCTGCCGTTTCCAAGTCTGTCCACAGCGGGGGTGAACAGCGGGAAACGCTGACCTACTGCTCTTTGAAAAATTCAGCAGAGCAGAAGCCCTCAAAGAATGCTGATTGGTGCTTAGTACTCGTAGATAATGAAGGAATGAGCCCCCAATAGAGATTCCTTTGGAGTCTGAGTCATGTTCGGGCCGAGCGAGAAAGTGGACATGGCGTCACACTCTTCAAAGGCATCGTGCTTGTGTGGGGTCCCGTGGGTCGTTTCTGTTCAGAATGGGAGACCACCTTCTGTTTGGGTTCCACCGCCACGTGGATAACCGCGTTGTTTCGTATTCGCGCTTTTAAGGCTGTGAAGACGAATGCGCTAAAGGTGTTTTGCAGGAGATGAAATGGTTTTTCCTCAACAGGGCTTTCAAGTCTCACCATGCTGCGATCGCTGCCACGCTTTTGTTTGGGTTCGGATCGCAAAACCGAGACTCCAGCGAAATCTGATGGAAAGGGTCTTTCGCAACGTCCGTGCAACCTAATTCGTGCTTTTATCCCACCCGCTATCTAGGGTAACAGAAGGAAATGGTACTCGACACACTTGTGTGTCGGTACCTTTCCTTCTGTTTCTCCTTTTCTACTCCTAGCTACCCGGGCGGTGTAAGACGTATGTCCCGCTCGCTAACTAGTGCATTTAATTCATTCAGCTAAGTAGTCAGTAACTAGCAGGTTTCGTAACTAGTGGGCCTTGTCACTACACCTATCTTTCTCTCTTTCCTTTGCGTTTTCCTTTCTGTCTTTCTTTTCTTTCTTCACGAAAGCTAGCTGTAGCTAGCTGGAGTCTGTCTTGCTTTAGCAAGGAGGGTGGGAGCCCAGGACCTGAGTGCTGTTACCTGATATATCAGGACCTGCTCCTGCGCCTGGCTCTTGGCTGCTTGCTGGTTGCTGCTGCTTGCTGCTTGCATGCTTGGTGCTGCTGCATGCTCTTGTCTGCCTGCTTGCTGGTTGCTGCTGCTTGCTGCTTGCATGCTTGCTGCTGCTGGATGCTGGCTGCCTGCTGCTTGTTGTCTGCTCCGTTTTGCTGCTGTTGCTGTTTGGGGTTGTTGGCTGCTGTTGGTGCTGAAGAAAGCCTGTTCGTTAGAATCGAGAGTAGTTGCATTCCCTCTGAGTCGTGAAACGATGCTAATTTCATTATATCCTTAAGAAGCTTGTACAGGCATTTACCCACCCCACAACCCCCAAGAGTACAAGTCAGAATGCACTATCCGCTATCCATAGATGATACTTACTACACACATGAATGATAGAACCCAGTAAGATGTTTGAACGGGCTGTTTGCTTCACTCATGGTAGTCCGCGTTCCATGCTCGAGCGACAGGGAGCATGCACAAGCGTTGCGACGGAGTCTTCGGTCGCTGACACATGTTCCCATGCAACCCCTAGATGTCAATCATGCACACCGCTGCTGGCTGCATCGTCAGCATTTATTCGTGAAAAAACAGATATATCAGATGTACCTGTCTTTCCACGTCGCCCTTCTACAATTACTCAGGCAGCACCTATATGTGCTATTGTTCGAGACCAAATGTTGGGGCCCGAAAGACTCTAAGGAAAGCTCACTCTTTCCCTGCTGCTGCTGCTTGGTGCTGCTGCTGCTGCTGCTGCTGCTTAGTAGCTGCTGCTTAGTAGCTGCTGCTTAGTAGCTGCTGCTCCTGCTGCTTGGTAGCTGCTCCTGCTGCTGCTGCTGCTTGGTAGCTGCTGTTGATGCTGCTGCTGCTTGCTAGCTGCTGCTGCTGCTGCTGGGTAGCTGCTGCTGCTGCTTGGTGGCTGCTGCTGATGCTGCTGCTGCTTGGTAGCTGCTGCTGCGTGGTAGCTGCTTGGTAGCTGGTGCTGCTGCTTGCTAGCTACTCCTGCTGCTGCTTCTGCTGCTGCTTGGTAGCTTCTGCTTTCTGCCGCTGCCGCTGCTGGTTACAGTTATTGTTGTTGTGGCTGCTGCTGCTGCTGCTGCTGCGGTTGCTGGGGTGGTTGTGTGTTGCCATGTGTTGGCTGTGTTGGGGTCGTATTGGGGGGGCGCTGTTGGCACTCTCCTTTTCCCTTGGCCATGGCATGTTGCGATTCCCGGCCAGGCTTTTGCTGCCTAAAGAGCCCCAGCGTTGTTTCTTTGCCTAGCTTTCGCCACCCCCCTCTGGGCCACAAGTTCTTTCTAAGGCTTTTTAGGTGATTAGTAAGTTCCTCCAGAGCGCCGATATCGGCGTTCTGTGTGTGTCTCCACCTCTGTAACTAAGAGTTTCTGTTTTTCTCAACTTTCAAGTCGCGGGGGCACTGAGCACTCCTTGGCAAACTCAGTGCAACGAAGCTATGCCTTGGAGTAAGCACGGATTGATCACCCGTGTGTACCTGCGCTGAACATACTGACTCCACTGGTTCCCCTCGCCGCTGTTCTTTGTTTCCATGGTTGTTTCCATGCTACCTTCCCCATAAACAGGTTTCCCTCCGCCGCTTTCCACCGTTCGTGAGCTGCCGCTGAGTCACTGCAGATGCGCATAACAACCTTTTGTTAAAACACCTTCAAATGCCTGGACACTTCACCTTGCGGTTCCATCGCCTTTTTCCACTCGGGAATTGAGTGCACTGAAAACCAATGGCAGAGTGTGTGGAGGGATCCCAATTGGAGCCCAGATGAACTTACCATGCCTTTGGTCATGTTGATAGTTTGGGAGTCATCCCAGCAAATCAACTGAATCTCCATGTCGTCCATCACCCCATGTCGACTGCAGTGGCGACTGCAGATTTAACACGATTCGACAGGTCCTGTGCTTCGCTGTGATTCAACACAGGTGGCCATCCAACCATGTAAACTCTAAGGTGCTGTGAGGAGCTACGGCTTAGCACGAACGGCTCTCCGGTCCACGTGGCGGGTCCGAGGCAAAGATCCCAGCGCCTCGGTGCGGTTGGCCGCCTTGGCATTGCTGGACCAGGTGCGAAGCGGGGACGAAGCGAAGCTGAATTCGACGAGTCGGAGTGAGTGAGTGAGTGAGGGTCGAAATGGATGTACCCTTTTGAAACCTGAGATGGATTGGATTGGTTTAGATTGGTTTCCCCACTAGAGACGGAACGAACGAAAAAGGTGAACCTTCAGCCTTCAGCCGGGCAAACTGAGGGAGTCAAGAGAGTCAGGAGGGGCAGACTCTTGGCGCCTTGTCTTCGGTGGGTCGATGGCGTCGAGTGGGGGGAGTTGCAAAATGAAAAGACATCATCAGTTCATCAGTTCTTTTCGGAGTTCATCAATGTGTAAAAAGAGACACTGGTCATTGTTCGTTCCTTCTCCTTCGTTTTCCTTCACTTCTCATGCATTTCGACACCCCCGTTCGCCACGGCGCCGTGCGCCACGGATCGAACTGGAACGATGGCTCCGCCGGCCGCGGCGTCCGCACGCGGTGTTGGGTCTGTTGGGTCCATGGACGACCGACGAACCAAGGAGGTGAGGGTGAGGGTGAGTGAGTGACCCGGGCTCGTGCCAGACTGGTGCTGGTTGCACCGAACGAGTGGATGTTTTTTTCAGAGCTTCGATGGCGCCGCAATGAGGTCTGCCAGGTTCGATGGGGGGGGTCCAACTTCCACCAGCATTTTTCGGAGGTAACTGGTCGTGCCACTGAAACCTCTGAAAAAACCACCTGTGAACACACCAAAGGACCGACTTCGAGTGCGAGTGCGACCCGACTTCGGAATGAGGGATCCATGAGCAGGTATCGGGAATGATGCCCTGATTCTCTACTATATAAGGACCAGTAAGATTATGTATATAGACCCTTAATGATATGTCAACCCCCCCGGGCCTGAGGATTTGTTGTTTATTGCGTCTACATGTCCATGTTTGGTCCTTTCACAATGGGTTCATTTGTGCCAAGAAGTCGCAAGAAGTGACATTGACCAAGCGGAAAAAAGCTACTGCACAGTACAAAAGCCTAGCATGCCGCTTGGGTGAAATTCTTCAAAAGCCTTTTTGAGTGGCAAGGAAATCTCAGTGTGGCAATGAGATGTTGCACGAAACCCAGAGGCGCCAGATTCATTACCTGGTGCCAAACCCGGTGGGTCACTCCCGGTGTTTGATGTGTTCGCCTCCAGCCACTCCCGTAGCCCCTGGGCTCTGATGCTGCCGGCTTTCAGACGCCGCTTCGCAGGGCGTCTACCACAAGAAAAAGGCAAAAACATGTAGACCTCTCTTGAAGACGTGTCGAGAACTAGACTTCTTTTGACCCGTTCATGCGGAGCCTTTCTTAGAAAGACCCGTGTTCCTCCGGTCCTCCGGAACTCTGGGTGGGGGCGTTTTTCCAGTCAATGACATCTCCTGCGACGTGCCATCCTGAAGATCATCCCCAAGTTGGACAAGTGGGACCTCAACCTCTCCTCCTCTCTGTAGGGGAGGGCCCCAAAGTACGGAACCACACCCAGCAATCTCACTCACGTCTGACCAAAATAATCCCCACTGGCAACCGAACTTCAAGCTCAGCGTGTGAGCCGCCATCCAAAGCGGTGTTTTTCACCTCGGTCGAAGACTCGGTCGTGTGTCCCACATCGGGCGATGCGGCGATTCGATGGTAGCCAGGCGGCCCGCATGTAGCCCGGCGAGAGGTACAGCGGGCCGTGCTCCTAGTAGCGATGCCCTTTGGTTACTAGTATAAATAGATATCCCTTCAGAAAGCCCTTCTTTCGATGACTCCATATTCAGACTGGCAGAATCCCACCTTCACTCCCCAAGGCTTGGAGAATACTGCAGTGTTGGGTTATCCCAAGAACGAAGCGATTCTTCTGCTCTTCTGCATACTGCGTCCCTCTTCGGGGCCAGTTGGAGCCATGGCTGGAGCCATGGCCATCCTGGCCTTGCTCGCCCATGCGGAGACGAGCACCTCGGGCTCCAAAGATGGGAGGCATTCTGCATATGTTCCTTCATCTCCAAGTCAAAGGTTCGGCCAATTGGAGGAATTCCGCGATCTCCAACTCCTGGTTCCTCGAATCACCTCTTCGTCTCGGGAAAAACTGCGGATTCCTGCTGTTCCATTCGTCGCAATTCCGGGCGAGTAGCTTGGTCAGATGGTGTGAGGGGAGTAGCTTGACGCACTCAAAGCCTCGCAGAGGAGTTGTGCCCTTGAAAAAGAACCTTTGCTCCATCCAAAGCGAAGCGGAGCGAAGCGAAGCGGAATCAAGAGGGATTCTAGAGCACGAGCACGTTCCTTCTGTTTTGCTTTGGAAGTGGGAAGGCACCGAAGATATCCTCGAAGGTTGGTATCTGCCACTACAAGATAGAACGCCATCCAAAGCCGTGTCACTTTGGATGTGCTTCGTTCGATCTTCAGCTCCTTCAGGGCTTGGGGGATGAAAGGACACATCCAGGCGGTGTATAAGGTCGGCATCGCATCGGGAAAACTGGCCAGCTCCCGGGTTCTTTGTGTGTTTTTTCGTGTGGTCTCAGGGATGCTTCAATTCTGTTCAAGCTAAAAGGAAGCTGATGCATGTCTTTCAAACTGGACTTGTTCCAAATCCGCTTGACCGGCTGCCACCGTTGACAACCACCGGGCGCCACGGCATCCTGCGTTCTTCTCTCTTGCCGGTGGGTTAACCTGGTCAGACCACCGGATGCCGCACGAGGTGAGACCGTGAGACCCCTGGAGTGAAGGACCCAAAGCTCCCTTCGTCGCGATCGGCGGCTCGGACGCCGATCTCTGCAATTGTCTGTTCTGCACAGATCAAGGGTTGACTAACTTGTGCCACAGACAGTGCGACAGTGACTCTTTCCTGATCATCTCTCCATCTTCGGATTGTTCGAGAAAGCAAGATGATCCATGTCTGACCAGCCAAGATGATGAGCGAAGCATATATAAACTGCCTTCGACCCAGCCAGTGATCATCGATCACTGCTTCTACCGGGATATGATGCTTGGAACTGCACGAGTTGTCCAGCAACTTGTTCAGCGGGATTTTCTGCTATGGGAGGACCCCATGTTCTAACGCCTCTGGAACCCCCAAAGAAATCGAACCAAAATGAGCTCATATCTCAGAAGTTCAACATGTCCAAGACTCTATGTGGCCGAAGAAAACCATGTGGAGACGAAACAAGTGGAAACCGAAACTCTCTTCGCGTTCCAGGCTGAGAGTTCCTGTGGCCCTCATGATGTCAGTCGCCGCTTCTTCACCGTTCTTGGTCTCATACACATAGCATCAGGTGTGAAAAAGAGGGTGACCGGAATCTTATTACTGTTGCCCTGTGCATGATGGTTTTCCCCATGCCACTGGGAGATGCATTGGAACAGTTGAAAATCTATTGGGATTATTGAGGTACAGTGCATCCAATTGGGCATCTCGCTTGGGCGTCCCGTGTGGGTGTTCAGTGACGCGAAAAAATGAAGGATCTCAGAAGAACGGATCACCACCCCGACGTGACAAATTCAACACTCCGACGTCAACCGTTTTCACCCATTCAAGTGGGGTCGATATATTGCTTGTTGGCTGCGCATCTACGTCTACCAACCACGCCAGCGAGTACGAAGACGCATGACGACCAAGACACCAACGGAACGGGTTCCGTCCTCCGCTGAGGAGGTATTTCCCGACGCTTCCGAACTTGCCGACGCAACAATCGACGATCGGGGCCTGCCAAGCACTGTGCGCGCTGGAGCCGGAATGCAGGCGTGGACGGAGGGGGCGGAGTGGAAGAGACACGAGATTGGTGAAGTGGACCTTGCTGCCAGGGGACTGTTGATGAAAGCGGTTTGACCATCCAAAGTTATTAATTCATCAACAGTTTACATAACCAGGTACCACTGGTAAGAGTAAAAAAGTTGGCATCGGCATCGGCGTAGTCAAAGTAGAGCTCACAGATCATGCAATTGGAGCACTGGGTTGGTACTGTTTGCAGAGTGAGAAGATTAATGCCAGCACTTTCTCACAGGTGGCTCTTGGTCCCAGCCAAGCAGTTTCCATAGGTTTTCCAAGAGGTACACAGTGGTATTCAAGATGTGTCTTGGGAACATGTGTAGTTTTCTGGCTTGAAGCGGCACAGTTTCACCCACTTCTTTTGGCAGTCTGGGTTACAATAGAGACACCAAGTCAAACTGTGGTGGCTTGCAACGTCCAAAATAGACTCGGTGACACAAAACGACACACCCTAAAATGAGAATGGAAAATTGAATCTTGATGTGCAGATTTCGTGGGAGGCGCAGCACTTTGTGAACCTCTTAAGTGGAGCTTTCGTGGCAAGCAAAGCACTGTGTGAACCTCGAAGCAGATTTTTGTGGCAGGTGTAGCACTTTGTGTTCTCGATTTCATAGCAGGCACGGCACTGTGTCAACCTCGAAGTGCTGATTTCGTGGCAGGTGTACCACTTTGTGTTCTCGAAGTGCCGATAGAGGTGATGTAGCACCTGATGTGCAATGATTTCAGGAAGCAGACTCAAACAGACCCTTGCATGAAAGTTTAGGAGAAAAAGAGCGCGACGCAAGCAGATTTTGGACGTCTTCCCACTTTCCCACACATATCACATATCTCAACAGAATCCAACATACCAACCTCATTTTCACCAAACTTATTCCAACCATGTACCCCACATTCTGGAATAAAAAATATGTGGGTATGTGGATGCAAAAATTCTCAAACATAGACCCCAGATAGCAAAATGACTTTTGTGGGCACTCTGCCACGGCACTCTGCAGCTCCAGCGGCACCACCACCCAAGCTCCAAGCCCTCAAACCGCACACAGCTGCAGCAGGGCACCACCCAAGCTCCCAAGTGCACACTGCAGCCAAGCTCCCAACCGCACACAGCAGTAGCACCCTGCAGCGGCACCAGCACCGAGGCTCGAAAACGCACACATGCAGCTCTTCATACTTGAAGTAAGAACCCCACTAGCTCACGCTATCTGGGGAGAAATATTCCTGGGTGGGCCCCACATGGTCCCTACCCAAGGGAGCCCCATGTTCTTCTTTTCCTGGCCGAACCACAAACACTCAAGGAAATTTGCAGCAATACGAGAAAGTGACGACCAGGATTGCCAACACGTGTTGAGGACCCTATCTCGGCTAGTGTATGTTCTGCCTTCACACTAGGCCGTCCTTGGCATGTTTAGCAGACTGTAGTCGTCAATTGTCCCGTCAAAACGAGGGTTCAACATGGTCCAACGGTTAATGTTTTGTCAATAGGTGCTGATAAGTTGTTGATTTGTGACGAATCGGCGCAGGACGTTCAACAGCGCGTTTTGGTGTGTTTTGCCAGCGCGAATGACCCCTGAAACGGAGCAACGAGAACGCCGAAGTTGCCCACCATGTCGACCCATCGCTACTCGCGTGACAACATGAGTTTTGTTTTCATCCACCCGCAGATTTTGACGAGTGCGAGTGTGTAATGTGCCTTCCAGCACGCGTCAATGATGTTTGTTGCAAAGTCATTGGGCAAACACGAGTGACCCACATGTGGTAAAGGTTCAACGTCAACATATCTGACACCTTCATCCGACGCGAGCGCCAAAACGGGATTTTAATATCCATTCACTGGACCCAGGTGCACCCAGTAAGAACAAATCAAAGAACATCGAGCTGTGGTTTGTCTGGATTTGTTCTGAAGCAGCGCTCTGCCCAGTAAGAAAAGCGCTCTTGTCTTAGATGCACCAGCTGCATTCGGAGAAACAGAAGATGGTTCTACGTAATTACTTGTTTAGACACAAGTGGTGGAGGTTTCTCGTGGGGCCTCGCATAGAAAGCCCACAAGGCCATAAGAGTGGTGAGGCTTTGCACGACTCATGAAAACGAACTCGTTGTTGACTTTGATTAGTATGAGGTTTGAGCGGTTTAGTATGACTTTGTTGGATATGTGTGTGTGCTGTTTATGTGTGAGAGGCGACCAAGAAACAAAAGTACAGGATGTCAATTGTTGACGTTAATGTAAGAAGCATTCTAGGAAGTCATTGAAAGAGTTGTCACAGTTTTGTTTAGATAAGGCACGGTGGTTTCACATGTTCAGATTCAACATGATTCAATCTCTGTTTTGATATTCTTGTTTTAAGTTTTGTAAATTTTCCGAAAACACTGAGGGTAGATGAGAATGTAACAGAAATGCCGAACTGCATTGTACCAGAGTAGCACCTACTTGGGTCATTACGGTGGGTCAGACATGGGTGGGGGCCTTCAAATATGGTGGCCAGAAACGGTAGCAACTGAGCGGCGGTCAGCCGTCTTGCTTAAAGCCGCAAAAACCAGAATCAGGGAACAGGGCCCGAGAGCCCAAGCAGGTGTGCTTCTGATATTGGGTTCAATCTGCCCACATGCAATCACGGTCGGCGAACTCAAACAATTGACAGCTTCAACAATTGACATTCAATGTGCAAGTCTACCACACTGATCTCAAAAGGAAACTGTGCAGAGTCCGGCGTCAACAAAACCACACTGATTTATCAGAGGTTTGGCTATACAATCAACAATCCGTTGATGTCCTCTAAAAGTTTTGGCGATCTATTGGGATGGAGTTTGTTGAATTCAAGTGACTCCTGCTATCTCCTGGTGGATGTGGGGAAGGGATGTTCGTTGGTGTCCAAAGGCTTTCCCTACGAAATCGGGGAGTCAAGGCATGCCAGTGGAACGGCCTCATCAGAGACCCAGCTTGCCGACTCTGCCCCACTAGTGACCTATGATGGGTCTAGGCATAATGTGATTTCACAACGGATAGGTTCACTTGAGAAACAACATGCTCACACCGCTTCGCGGTCGAAGCCACCCGCCCAGAGTAAAGGGAAAACATACACATACAGACATAAACATCCATCCATGCATACAGACAGACATCATGCAGACACACATCCAGGCATACATGGGAAAAGTGTGTCATTAGCACCCTACCGGCTCGGCAGCAACCTGCGCTCTCGTGGAGCCGGGAACTAGCAACTTGTGCTCTCGGAGCAGGGAGGACACGTTATCCGGGCTCGAGCGTGTCTCAGTCCGTCTGTTTCGGTGCGTCAGTCTGTCTGTAGGACACACGGACGAACACAAGCACCATGTCAATTGTCTGTCTCGGTCTGTCTGTTTCGATCTGTCGGTCTGTCTGTCTTGGTGTGTTTGTCTTTGTCTCGGTCGGGCAGGACACATCCCGGGCTGCACATGCGTCCGCGATGTCGATAGTGCGACGTTCCCAAACACAGCATTTCCAGTCTTACCATGTTACCATGTTCGATGTGCTTGAAGATGAAGATACGGAAAGCCAATGGATGAGTCAGTTTGATCAATTTGAGACAATCCTGAACGTTCAGCGCAATATTTATCCCCCACTTCCACTTTTATTTTACGTAGCTTTTTGGTTAGTGTTTGAATTTGTTCATGCCTAGTTGAGCAGTTCAGCAGCGACCTGAAAGTCCATTCCATTGGGAGGCTGTGTGCGATGAGCCTCAGGTTGGTGGCTCACAGTGGCGTGCCGACCGCACCGGCAAAATCCCATCATGAGGGACCGGTGTTAGCCGGGAGGGATTGGGGTACCTGTCATTAGGGCACATGCATAGAACCTGCG